AACTAAAACCGAGGCTATGTGGGTAGGTTATGATGTACAGAATAAAGCAAAGATCTGTGAAGAACTTCCGATTAAATGGACGAAACAGATAAAGGTTCTTGGAATCATTTACGAAAGTGATATCCAGAAAATGACCAATAATAACTTTGAAAGGAAAAAGGGAGAAATTCATGCGACTATTAAAGACTGGCAGAAAAGATACCTAACCATATACGGGAAAATATGTGTAATAAAAAGTCTAATAATACCTAAACTGACACATTTATTCGCGGCACTACCGAATCCATCGCCTGATTTTTTGAAAGAGTTAAATACGATTCTATTCAATTTTGTATGGAACGGGAAGCGAGATAAGATAAGTAGGAAGAGTCTTGTACAACCGATAGAATATGGAGGAGCTGGAATGATAGACGTCAACCTGTACCTTAAGTCGTTGAAAATTGCGTGGGTTAGGCGAATGTTGCAGTCTGATAGCCAGTGGATACAACTTTTTGAAAGTAAAATAGGTCAGAAGAATTGCATCTGGGATAGAAATGCAGTGTCTTTGCGAAATTTCAGTAGACGAGTGTCATATAGTCGTTTCTGGTGCGAGGTTATGGAAGCAGTAGCAGACTTAAAAGATGCATATGGAGATTACTCATTAGATGAAATGGCCGCAAGCACGCTTTGGTATTCTGACTTAAGCAAATTTTGCACTAGCAGAATCAACGAGTGGTATTCTAAGGGGATACATTATTTGAACGATTTACTGAACGCAGACGGTAATATTATGTCATTTGAGGAGATGAAAATTCAATATGGAATAGAAGGTGTGCAATTTGACTATGATTGTCTGGTGAATAGTTTACCGAGAACCTGGAAGGCAGCCAACAAAACTAAGCTAATTGGACCTCTTATAGACCCATGCTTGTCTTTTATAGTTTCCAAATCACAAGGATCAAAACACATTTATTGGAAGTTGATGCAGAAACAGATTAAAAGCCATGCACATAAATGGGAATGTACTAGGGTTACCCGCGTGCTCCGCAACGCGAAGGGGGGATTTTTTGACCCGTGGGTATTGGGTTGGTCTGTGTCGATTTGGTTGGTAGATATCCATTTCGTTCGATTGCTTTTTGACGGCCAAGCATTTTGTAAGAAAACAAAAAGATACATCGCATCGAGGTGCCCGTGTCGTATTATCATGCGTTCTACTTTAGAATGATTCGAAAACTGGCGTGAAGTCTTTTGAGGGCCATCGATGAATTTCGCTAAAAATGACAATGTAATGGTTTGGAACATTTACATTTTTATGGATACTGTTGCTAATCATGCAAAAATGAAGAGTGAATATTGGACAGAATTGAATGCTCTATCCAATGGTACCATATTCAATTGCCAAAGGTATCAGGTTATGCAGCGAACCCCGTGTGATTAATAAAGTGGCACAAAATTGACAAACACCATTTTCTCCTGTGATTTGCACCACCTTGATTTGGATCAATCAGCTTTTCACAATTTTTATATGAGAGGCGGTACCTTTCTCTTGCAAATAGGCGTTGATTCAACTCGCTCCATTTAACAGTCACCTAAAAATAAAATTAATTCCAAAATCCCTCAAAAACCGCAATTTTTCAAATAAAAGTGCCCTCTCCGGTGCACGTGGAGCGTGCTATCCTCTGCATTGCACACCATTCAATAGCCCGTTCAATTCTGTACACGATGCTGTTTTCCCCGTGCCGGTCGGACCCCTGGTCACCAAGATATTGCACGGGAACTGGACCCGTGTCGGCCAAAATTAGCCGTTTTCGCCCGATTTCGCACGCCGATTTATACATGTAAAGTCTATGACGCGAATTTGCACTTTTTGAGCACGCGCCACGCGCTCCCTATCAATCCGATCGAGCTGAGACCCCTCAAAGGCACGTCGCGCATCCTTGATCTATAAGTTGTGCAAATTTCACCGGGCTAGGTGCAACGGTCTGGCCTGTAGTCCACGCAAAGCACGACCAAGTCGGGACCTCGGTAACGGACAGACGCACCCTCCTCAAATAGTAATATAGAAGTGGAGTGCGATGTTTAGGGAGGTCGCATGGAGTGAAGTTTATACCAATAACAAATTAGCCTCGATTTTTATGCGTTATCGCAGTGCGCAATATAAAATAATTACAAGAACATGTGCTACTCAACGATTGCTACATCGGATTGGAGTGGTTGAATCTATAAATTGTAAGAGGTGTTACGAAGTAGAAGATAGCATTGAACACAAATTTTGGTTTTGCCCCGTTGTTCAGATTTTCTGGGAATCTATTAAAAATTGGATGCTTACAAATCGAATTATGCAAGAAGGTTCTGAATTTAATGCGAAGACTGTGCTACTGGGCCTGGGTAAGACGACCCTCTTTAATCATGTAGTTATAGTAGGTAAAATGGTTATTGGAAATAGGGAGAGGTTGAACCTGGATGAAGTGATCAGGTGGCTTTGTGCTGACCGAGAGCTGGAAAGAATGATTGCGGTGTGTAAGGGTGATCGGAAACACTTTGAGGATAAATGGGAGCGGGCGAACGAGGCGTTGATAAGCGAGTAGGAGTAGGAGTAGGTTTAGGAGTAGGGATATGCGCTTTGCACATGGCCCCCGCCCTCCCGGCCAGCCGGCGCGGTGACTGTCGGGCCGGGCCGTTGGACTGGGACACCGCCTCGCAGAAATGCGCGGCGATGCGGGGGGGGAGGGGGGCGGCCCGCCTGGGGCGCCGGGGAGGTATCCCCCAGATCTCCCCGGCCGGGGGGGGGGGGGTATCCCCCAGATCTCCCCGGGGTCGGGCGGTGAATGCCGGGGGTTAATCACCGCCCGGCCGGGCCAGGTGGGCTGCATAATTATAATAATGTTTTTAGTCATGTTGATGTTATGTTTTTTAATTAAGGGTATACTATGTATGAGGTGTACGTGTGTACATGTGTGTAGTGTGTGGTGTGGTGCAACGTGTGCAAAATTCCGCTACGGACACACAGCTATGTAATGTTGAAATAAAAATATAAAAAAAAAGTTCACCGTACCCTGGCCTGAGACCGTCCACGCGTAACATCACCGTACCCTGCTCCGAGATCCGTCTAAACAAACATCATGCCTTGCTCTGAAAACCGTCTGAAACATCGTACCCTATTCTGAGCTGCGTCTAAAACATCGTACCCCATTCTGAGATCCGTCTTAATTACACTGCTCTGAGGTCCATTTACACTCTACGGCCTACACGTAACGTCATCGCACCCTGTTTAATATCTGTCTACCACTACAGACCCATGTAACGTCCTTCTTCGTGTGGCCGTAAAGCGACCTGTGCCATGCCACCACCTGGGCCAGCGCCTGCAGCTGGTCCTCATCTTTCGTTCTGTCCATCATCTCCTGTGCCAGCTTCACTCCGCGATCCGCTCCATCATTCATATTTCATAACTGCCAGTCTGTTGACGTATTTGTGAACTGCGTTGTAACCTGAGATACTTTTCCATTTTTGACAGGCTTTTGCAACCATTCGAGGGCGCACTCATCCATATTATGGATGAGTGCCTATGATTCTCATAGCCGGGTGCCCGGTGCAACCATTCGAGGGCGCACTCATCCAGATTCTAGATAAGCGCGCCCTCGAATGGTTGCAAGAGCCTGTCAAAAAAAATGCAAAAGTATCTCAGGTTACAACGCAGTTCACAAACTCGTCAACAGCCTGGCAGTTATGAATGATGGAGCGGATCGCGGAGTGAAGCTGACACAGATGATTGACAGAACGAAAGATGATGACCAGCTGCAGGCGCTGGTCCAGGTGGTGGCATGGCACAGGTCGCTTTACGGTCACACGAAGAAGGACCACGTGGGTCTGTAGTGGTAGACAGATATTATAGCAAGGTGCGATGACGTTATGTGTAGACTGTAGAGTGTAGATGGGCCAGTGTAGGATGTTTTAGACGGACCTCAGAGCAGTGTACGATGTTTAAGACGGATCTCAGAATAGGATACGATGTTTTAGACGAATCTCAGAGCAGGGTACGATATTTTAGACGGATCTCATAGCCGGGCACGATGCTGTTGACGGATCTCAGAGCAGTGTATGATGTTTAGGACGGATCTCAGAATGGGGTACGATGTTTTAGACGCAGCTCAGAATAGGGTACGATGTTTCAGACGGTTTTCAGAGCAAGGCATGATGTTTGTTTAGACGGATCTCGGAGCAGGGTACGGTGATGTTACGCGTGGACGGTCTCAGGTCAGGGTACGGTGAACTTAATACCCATAGCTGCAATGTAAATTTGATTCTGTTCAATCTGCGTTTATGTGGTGTGCCATTGCCGCAGACGGTTCGATCTGAAGCGAGACATTTGAAGCACTAACCTGAGACCTTTATTTGATCGCTGACTCCTAAACGAAATCAGCGGCACATGAAATCACCCACACCAAGATTGAAACTGGCATTGTCTTCTATCCGGTAGGCACGCACGCAGTCGCGCGCGCGCGCACACACACACACACTCACATATACACACACGCACAGAGGCATACGGGCACGCACGTACACAGTTTCACACGTATGTATGCGTACGTACATAAACCCGGATTTTCATCATTGTGCAATGTGCGTGGGATCTGAGCATCACTGAGCATCGAAGAAGGTAATATTGCTACGTTGCTTACACATATTTCCCATTTTGCATTCGGAGACTACAACGCTGCACTATCATATAACACCAAAATGCAAGTAAAACTTCAGAGCACTAGCGGCAACCTTGTTTACCGGTAGTTTACTCTATAAATTGGTGTGTGAGGTTCAAATGAACCAAGGAACGGGATCCCGGTGTATCCTAAGTGAATTGGAAAACTTCGTGAAATTTGGGACACCCTAATATACATGCATGCATACACACATAAATATTAAATACACATATGCATGCATACATATATGCATGCATGCCTCCCTAAACCACTACAGCTGTACTATCAGATGAGAAATATAGAAGTAGCTTGTATTGTACTTACCAATTGTCATCCTTATCAGCTTGATACCTCCCAGTGTTCTTTTGAAATCCTTTCTGCTTCACCTGAGCCATAATAATCTGAGTACCAGTCAGCTGCTATTTCTTTACAATAATAGCAGTCTTCTTTCACAAAACTGTATATCAACAGATTATAACTCTTATGAGCATGGACTGTTGTTAACTGTCATATTCTTCAAACCTTTAAATGTTCTTGCTTCTCCAGGTCCAGATTGTCTTGTCTCAGTCGATACAAGTGTCCTCTCCAGAGCTTAAACTGCAGTACAGGTGACCAACTGGAATGATTCAGATTGAGGTTCATCAGCAATATTACTCAGTGAAATAAAATGTAGTACACCTTTAAGAAGTCTGTGTAGCCCTGCTGGTAGTATATGGTGAATGGGAGACAATATCCAAAATGATTAATACCTAGGGCACCCAAATGTATCATAGGTACCATATCATAGGTATTTAATGACTATATCAACACTACCAGACTCATGTCCCCTCAGATCAAGATAGAAAAACATTTCTGTTTAACTTGCTTTTTATCCAATCTTATTATTTTTTACCAAGCTTTAGCATTTACGGCATAGTAGATAAGCATTTGCATGTGCTTTCTTACCTCCTATTCTTATGAAGTAAATCAAAATGGTTTAAAGGTAAATGGTAAAAACTAAAAAGGTAAACTTTGGCACAAATGAGTTAAACTTTTGATGCAAATTGTGCTAAAACTTTGGCACAAAAAACAATTGCTTGCTTCAAATTTTGACACAAATAGCTTATAGCTACCTACCTGGGGCACTCGGCAATGGTGATTGGTGTAGTGCACGGATTTCTCCAGTCTGAGTCTGGGGTAACCAGTCAAGGGGCCTGGGTCCAGAATGTTATCAAATTGTATTTATTACAATGATCCAGCATGTTCTCATTCATATTAAATTAAATTTGTTCCGCTCCACATAGGTACCTACCTAATAAAAATGTGAGCAGCAATTACAATTATGTGAGTCAAACTATTACAAGTGACAATGACATCAAGGCAAATATAATGCAACAACAGATCAAACAACACTTCTTCTCACAGATTAACTAGTCAAGGAAGAAGATTTCCATTTTGGCAATTATAAATCAAATATCAGAGGAATGCATTATGCAACCCATCCAACCGACCCTGTAATTATTCGCGCTGTTTATTCCAAGGCCACACACATTCGCCTTTCCGCGGAAAATGTTTGTTCCTTCTGAAAACATGGAAAAGGTTAATGTCAAGTTATGTTCTCCTTGAACAAATTGTGAATCAATTTTGTTTTTAAGATGTGAGCCAGTGCCCACAGTAAGTTGTGGGAAATTAAAATAATTTGTTTTTTTCTTCATATTTATAATAAAACTTGATGAAGAAATATAAATTTCGTTTATGACGCTCTTGCTTCAAAAATGAAGTGAAACTACTGTTCAAAAATAATATTTCGCGCTGGCTTCCATCACTCCCAAGCAGGCTCGCAAGCGTTAAAAAAAAATGTCATACTCTCTCGTTGCCTAGCAACTAGCTTAAGGAAAAAATAAAAATCCTGCGCGTGAACAGTCAGAAGGGAAAATTGTCATATGTGGGTTATGCCTTGTGTAAATTGGTCTGGATTTGGTCTGGATCGTGGATGTTGATTTGGTTATAGGTTATATGCCTTGCTCGCTGATTGTGTTGCCACTCGGGGGCGACCTAAAAGTTTAAGAGGTTTGCGCAAATGTGCGGGTGGGGGGTGGGATTAATGGCATAGGTCAAGGTCTATAGGTAGGTCTTGGGCAGTGAGTTCCATACAATGATGGATCTGAGTATCTGACAGAGAAAGAGTGCTCTGTAGTGTCTGTGTGGGTGTCGGTGGGGAAAATAAACTGGCTGGAAATCCCCACCAGCCTGCACCAACCAGGCTGGAATCTACTCCAGCCTACACCAACCAGGCTGGAAATCCACGCCAGCCTGCACCAACCAGGCTAGAAATCTGCACCATCTTTCACTAACCAGGCTCAGCTGGAAGTCTGCACCAACCTGCAGCAAACACCACTAATGTGCCAGCTGTGGTCTCTCTAAGTCTCTAGTTTATATGATTTACAGTTTTGCTTGACTGTTTCAGATCCTACCATGGCACTCTCTCTGGGGCTGTCAACAGTGCAGAGGCTGGCAGCTAATGTCCTGGATATGAGGTTTGTGCATAGGCTGGTCTTTTTGCTTACGTATTATATGATTATATTTGTGGTATTGTGGATATCTTGTTTGAATGTGTGTGGTAATGTGGATATGTGGATATCTTGTTTGAATGGGCTTTGTTCCATTTTGCTTCGCTCATCCTTCCAATTCATTTACTTGAATTCATTTTTTTAATTTATTCATTCACATACATTGTTCATGGGTTATCAAGGCACAGCAGCTTAACATGTTTGTGGTCTGTGTACGCTATGTGTGATGTGTGTTTTCTGATGCTCACTCCCTCATGTGTGGATGGTGCAGCCTTTCGCGGAGCCTGTGTGCTCTAACCATCTCCACGAGGAAGGACATCAGCACCTCTTCTGCAGCTGCCATCGCTGTATCACACCCACTCTGGTAGGTGGGCATGGTCCAGACAATATGGTTGTTAGGTAAATTACTAGCTAAGAAAGCTTGGGTTTCTCTATTTTACTATGAGAATGCAATGCTGGTGTACCATCACTTTGAAACATTTGTGTGGAAGCATCAAGGGATGCATAAATGGAGAGAAACGTGTTCAATATCTCCCAAACTTTTTGTCCTTCAAGCTTAGCCACTTGTTTTAATAGTTTGTGGGTGCGATGGATGGGTTACGTTACACTGTGCGTACACACCGTCTGACCGTGTGTCCGACCTCAGTGCGGAGCCTCTGAAGAAGAAGAAGCGTATCGACCCGGCGGTGGTGCGCGCGCGGGAGGAGCGGCGCCGACGTAAGCTGGAGAAGGCCATCCGCCGGCTGGAGAAGAGCTCCCGCCAGCTGAAACCTCTGGCCGAGATGGAGCTTCCGCGCGAGGTGCGCGCCGAACTGAGGTGAGACCCGGGACGATCGGTGGGGGGAGGGATGGGGGGTTAAGGTCCGGGGGAGGGATGAGGCAGTCTGCTGACTGAGGCAGTCACAGCCTTCGAGCTCACGAAGGCTGTGAAATTATCTGGAGGGGACCGTCGATGAAGCATGACTGGGACCGATCAGTGAGCTCATTGGAAAGGGATACCAGCATTCAAAACCATCAGGGTACAGTTGCAATATTATGGTGCATAACTGATAGATAGATAGATAGATGTATTCGAACAAGATCCATTATAAAACAATGGCTTTTCACAAGTTCACGTAAGCGAATTAAAACATTGTGGACACGGCGAAACAGACATACCAGCTGGCAGCTACAATCACGCACATGATGAAGTCAGGTATACCCTACTGCGACTTAACAGCGCGTCTGACTGCAGAACGGAACCCGCACGTTCCGGGCTCCACACCGACACTGTTCAGTAGCCCTACTCCTCGGTAGCACAGCCGTCTCCTCCCTGCCTCAGTTCGGATAGTCGGGAGTGTGTACAGGCTGGCCTGCCTCGTGTTATGGCTGTGGCGCTGATCAGTCCGCAGACCAATAGTCGCCATGATGCTTTCAGGCTGCCCTGAAACTATAACCCGCTCGACCGCACACACAGTGTGATATATCACAAGCTGTTCAGCAGTGAGCCACTGCAGTTGTTCCAGGGACTGAGATACATGGTCATATCGCCTCTTGCCCGTCACTACTCGAACGCAGAAGTTGACAAGTTTTTGTACACGTCGAAGCTGCGTCATGCCACACGAACCATACACTGACAAACAATACCGTAACACAGAAAGGACAAGTGCCTCGACAATGGATTTCAGTGTCACTCTTGGGATCACGTGACGTGCATGAGTCAGAGCAATAAGAATGCCCGTGCACTTTCTAGTTACATTGTCGATGTGCGTTTCATAGTTGAGATGGCGGTCAACGTAAACACCCAGGTTCTTGGCGGCTCGCGACTCAGCAACAACAGTGCCACAAAAGTGAAGGGAGACTAAGGGCAGGTCGCGCAGCATCGCTGGTGTACCTAATACGACCATTTGTGTCTTAGCTGTGTTAAGCATCATGCCGTTAGCACAAAACCACTGATACATACGGTGTAAGGCGTTCTCCATACAGGCCACCATTCGCTGCACGTCACGTTTCTTTCCGCTGACCAACAGCTGTGTATCGTCTGCATACTGGACAATTGTTACATCATCTGAGACACTGAGGCTGAGGTCGTTGGCATACAACATGTACATGACGCATGATAGCGCTCCGCCTTGAAAAACACCAATGTTATTTTCTCGTGAGCGCGACAGTACGTTCCGTCCTTTACCGGCACACAGCCTAACCTGCTGAGTGTGATCAGACAAATAACTGCTGAACCATTTCGTGTCAATGCCATACAGTGCAAGTTTTCGAAGTAAATTTTGATGTGGCACTACATCAAAACATTTGGACAAATCCAATAAGACCAAAATTGATATGTTGCCGTTTTCCATTGCGTGAAGAACCCTATCAGTTATTACGTGAAGCGCGGTTTCTGTAGACCGCTGCTTCCTGTAACCGTGTTGGGCATCAGCAAGAAGATGATTTTCTTCTAAGTACGTTGTTAATTGGGTCTGAACAGTGCGTTCTACGAGCTTCATAATAGCCGGAAGAATAGAAATGGGGCGTGTATCGGACGGCTTGGTTGTAACCTTTCCTTTAGGGATAGGTGTCACCAGCGCATGTTTCCACGCTCGTGGGACCACACCAGAGATCAAACTGAAGTTGACAACATCTAGTAACGCATGTCTTACGCCGTGGAAAAACTTCTGCAACATGCTCACACTAATGCCATCGTCTCCAGTTGAATTGGACGGTTTCATAGATAGAAGCACGGTATATAGCGTGTCTGCGTCCACCGTTTCCACACAAAAAGAGCATGTTGACACTCGCGGGAGCCGGGTAGGCACGTTTGCGGTCGGAGGTGGCACACTAGCAGCAGTGGTAGGCCCCACTGACACGTAATAGTCATTCAGTGCGTCAGCGGTTATGCTCGGTATCTCGCACTGCTGCTTTTTCGAGCCAATTACAGGTCGTAACACTCGCCACAGCCCACCGCGATCACCACGCGCGATCTCCCTCTCGTACCGCTCTCGACTCTCTCTACGCACAGCCGAGCGGCACTGGCGGTTCAGCTGCTTATACTCGGCGCGGCCGCCCGCGCTCAGTACTAAACTCAGTACTAAACCATCACATTTATTCAGTAAGCAGCATCGTTACCTTCCCGCCACCCTCCCCATACTCTCCGTGTCTGACGCTGCCCTCTGTCCCCTCCAGCGAGCGTCGCCGGCCGGCCCGGCCGCTCACCACTGAGGAGGCCAATGAGAGGTTCGATCTGATGAAGGAGTGGACCCGCCACCGGCGCGAACAGCACGTGGCAGATGTGGCGGTAAGGACGGCTGGAGGGAGCGAGCGGCGAGCGTTGGTACCGGTGCAGTTGAACTTTTTGTGACGCTGAGTGGGGACGTTTAGCGTCATTGTCAATCCAGTGCTGCAATGGAAGCTGGTCGGTGGGATGTGATATTTCAATATGTTTAAGCCACCTGAAGATAATTTAATATCATGTATAACAAGAGCATAAGTTGCTTATTTTCGGAGCTGCATAAAAAATGACTGCTTATGTAGCTTATTTTGACATCAATAAAACAATAAACACATAGAAGACGTTTGGTACCATCCTCTTCTTTCCCTAAAGAATATAATAGTTAGATACTTAGCAGTAAATCTACAAGCTAGGTATAGGTATGTTTAACGTTGGTGTGCCCTAACCTATTGGCCTTGTGTCTCTGCAGGTGTTACGGCGGATCCAGGAATCCCGAGCCAAGGCGCTCAGGGAACTCCGAGCAGAGTCGTTCCAGCTCTACTGCGCTGCCATCGAGGTCAGTGCGCTTGGACCTCCTGTCCCGCCGTGATTGCAGCCTCGAACGGCCCGCTCCGGACCCTGTATCTTTGTGTATGTGTCTGTATAGTGTGTAGCCTATGTCCATTGTTCATGTGCCAATGTTGTCTGTGTCTATGCCCCCTGGCTGTGTGTCTGTGTCCGTGTATCTTTGTTCGGTATGTCCGTGTCCATGTTGCCGCTGCCGCTACCAGCTCATCAA